TTTCTTTGTTGCCCTTGTCCTCTGTCTTCCTGGGCATTTGACCAAACAGAATTTTATTTTATTTTTCCAAGAATATCCAAATACCCAAAGGTCCAGTGACTCTAAATACCTCACTTAAAAAGGAAGTTTCCAGAATGATAGTAGAGTAGTAAATAGCAAATGAAAAGGCATGTTGAGATTTTGTTTCAAGATTATAATGAATAGAAGATGAACTTATAAGGAACGGCATCCATTCTGGCACCCATCCTTATCAGCCTCTATTGCTGGCTAGAATCACCAATGCAAATCATACAGGAGAGTTTACCATCCCCAAGGGGAATATCTGCATGATGCATAGTGCATGGTGTACTAAAAAAATAATAGCACAGTATCCCACAGGTTTGTCATGACTAGTCTGATGGCAGATAGTTCTATTTATGATTCTTGAAAACTAAAAGTGAGTAAGGCTTAACATTTTTAGGTTTGAAACATGTTTCATATTTTGCTACATTTCTCTCAAGTGTGTATGCATTCTATAAGAAAACACAAAAATAGCATTAGCATCAAGCATGTAAATGCTTCTATCTGGTACACTTGGTAGAGGCAGTAAGGGAAGCCTTGGGTTTCTTACACAATGATCTGCCTTTGGGTCACCTACCTACTCAACCTTAGCCCTCCTGAAGGTCATGTTCATTTAATCCATTTGAGTCATCACATACCAGAGGGTTGGCAGAGTTGAACAGAAAAACAAAAATTATACATGTGTTTATTTTTGAGAGGTGGTAAAGCAACACAAAACATCTTCAATTAGGACAGAATTCAAAATGGGATATGATGGGAAGATGGACTCCAAAGAGGATTCATCAAAGTCCTAATATCTGTAGTGTTGGCAATGACATTAGTCTGACATACATTCTCTACATTTATCAGAAAACAAGCAGGTAGATAGGCAGTGGAGGAGCTCAAGGGAAACAAAGTCATCCATGACTTCCTTGGTTTTCTTGGTAACCATATGGAGCCACATAATTAAAAGGTAAAAAGCCACAAAAGCATTACCTGAATTCCATATGACTGGGAAGGAAAGTTGTATTGTCATGTCCTCCAAGGGCTGAACTTTAGCAAGGGGCAGACCACCTCTGCTCCTCCTCAATCTCCTAGCCTGGGGCTGCTCTTCACCATCAGGTTTTTGAATTCTGGCACAACTCTCTCTAGTCCTTTCTCAAGACCTCCAGTTCCCCTCTCCTCTCCTTGGCTAGGTTTTCACTTGGGTGCCTATCTTGTTTAGTCAGTGTAATTGCTACTTAAAATTAAAGCCCACAGAACCAGCTTTGCCCTACTTTCCTGGGTTAGCTAAATCTAGAACCATTTAAAAATTTGTTTTTGAATAAGTAATAACATTCACATGTTTAAAAACATATAGTTATTTGTTAACAATCTCTTGTCTTTTTCCCCATGTAGCCAATGCCAACCACTTGCAAGAAATTTCTAGAGTTTCTTTATGCACACACAGGAGTGAATATAAATTTCCTTCCTTTTTATTCGAAGGGGAGTATGTTCTTCACACTTTTTTGGAACCGTGTCTTCTGAACATCTTTTACTGGATACCACTCTAAACTTAAGACTTAAATAATTTATTATTCTTGCACACAGTGTTGTGGGCTGATGGCGCTCTTCTGGGTAGTTCTTGCTTATGCCTCAAGTATAGTTACAATCAGATGCCAACAGGTATAGACATTCTTTGAAGGCTTGGCTGGCCAGAATGGAGGCCGATGTTTAATGGGAGATCAATTGCCTGAGCAACTTCACATGGACTCACCACGTGGCTCCAGTTTCTCACAATAAGGAGGCTGGGTTCTGAGTGGGCATGCCCCAAGAACAAGTGTTCCAATGTAGCAGGAAGAGGAAGCTGCCAGGCCAACTAAGGGCTATTTACAGAACTGATAAAGTCATCTCTGTGTGTTCAATTGTCCAAAGCATTCACAAGGCCTGCTCAGATGAAAGGGGATGGAGATATCAACCCCATATCCTTATGGGGCAGTTTTGAGATCACATTACCAATGAGCTTGGGGTGATAGAAGATGCTATAATGATTGTCTTTGGAACCTAGCGTCTGCAACACCATCTGAAGTAATTTTCTATTCTTCCTAATCTTCTCTTGTACTGTCTAATAGCAAAGCTTTCATTTCTGCTTTCACTGCTATGACTAACCCAGGTTCTCAATGCTTCTTAGTCATTATCAGAGCTAACTTCCTGCTCTCCATTTTTCCCTCACTGCCAATAGTCAATAAAATGTGTGTTTTCTCTCCATAGATATTTCCATAAGTTCAGCTCTGATAAGCTCATTCTCCAAAGTAAAACTCAGCTCTGTTAACTTAGCATTTAGGAAAAGTTGCAAACTGCTGGCCAGCAGTCTTGTTTGACCTTCGTGGTGTTGGGAAAATATAGGATTTGCATTTTTTTAAGCTTCTAATATTGCAAAACCAGGAGATTTTATATAAAAATCCAGGTTAAGCTCCACTTGAAAAACTAAGTTCTGATATATGGAAGCATTTAATTATTCAACTAATATGTTCTAGATACTAAACAAAAGAGGGGAAAAATCCCCTTATGGAATTTAATTCTAGTTGTAGGAATTTCAACAATAGACAAAATAAATAAGCAAATTAAATAGAATGTTGGATGGTGATAAATTTTGTGGAAGACTGAGGAAGGAATAAGTAAAGAAGTGGATGGGAAGGGCTGTAATTTAAAATCACATGGTCAGGGAAAGCTTCACTGAGATGGTGGCATTTGAATATAAAAAATGAAATGAGGAAAAGAAATATGGATTTCTAGAATGGTGCTATACCATATTGGATAGCCACTAGCCATATGCTCCTCTAAATTTATATAATTAAAGTTAAATAAAGTTAAGAATTCAGCTCTTCAGTCACACTGGCCACATTTCAAGTGCTCAGTAGCCACACGTGGTAAATGGCTGCAAAAGAGAGAACATTTCAATCAGTGTAAAAATGCTGTTGGACAGCACCTTAGAGAAGTGGCATTCCCAGCAGAGGCTTCCGCATGTGTAGAGGTGCTAGGGTGGTTCACTGCTTGATTTGAAATTGTGGCATGGTTCTTCTGTTTACCATTTCTTCCCTTTTTTCTTGTCTACCTGTTTTTATACTGAGAATACATAGCCTTTGTCATTTATCACCTTTACCCAAACCAAATTTTCAAAAGGCCCTTATTGATGTCAAGTTTTAGACACTTGGTCAATGTCACAGAATGTATGGCATCTATGGCCTCGCATTGGGAGTTACATGAAGACCAAGAACCTGTACCAGGTGACAGAACACACATGTTCTGTTTGGAGCAGAGTGGGTTCATGGGATAATTCAAATTGTATTCTTAGGGGTGATATGGTACAAACATTGTTGCCTTAGAGTGAATGTTCACCAGAAGTGTCCTGGAGGGACTCTGGTAGACAAAGTGTATCAGGGGAATATTTGAAGTCCTGGGAAGGTGGCATTCTGGGGATCAAGGCAATGACTACCTACTGGAACTGTAGTGTTTTAACACTAAAGGAACAGATACAGTCTGGCATGAAGTAGGATTTCAGCCTTGGATAAATATAAGTGACAGGTATTAGGAAACCGTAACAGACAATGGAATGTATTATAGAATTCTTTCTAGTAAATGCACAAGTCTAATGTGACAGGATTTAAGGCCTTCTACAATGTGGCATTGGCATTCATTCCTAGTTCTTCATTATATTTCCTCCTCTCCCACCAGCATGACATATTCTTAATGCCCAGTAGATTCTGTGTGATATCACCTTGGCGTTTTGGTTACACTTCCCCTCTTTACTTGAAGGACCCTTACCCTCCTTTCTGCCTACTTGAATCTTTCCCACTCAGCCTTAAGGTACAATTCAAACTTCCCTCCTTTCATTGATTTAACTTAGAAGCTTTTCTCCTGCCTTATGCTATTAGCAAGAGTATAGGGGCTAAATCCTGTTTTGCTATCTACACCCTTTTCCTTACCTGGTCACACATATAATTCTTACTTGCCATTAAAAAAAAAAAAAAGTGAACAAGTTTATTCAATTCTTGCAAGGTATAGGAAAAAAACGGGGACCCCAGTGTCCTACTGATTAGAGGGAAAACCACTGGTTGGCTTTATTGAAGAGATGGAGCTGGGATGTAAAGGGTCACAGCCCCTGCGTTAAGGCCCTGCTGGAATAGTCTCTTTTTGGGTGCTCCAGGATTCCTACTCCTGGAATGGTATAAACAATGATTCACACCACGCTTGGCCTTCGCAGTTTACCAAGCACATTCATCACAGGCAGCAGGCTTTCAGGGAAGATCAAGTTCCAACATGTTAACAGAGATTCAAGTTCGGGTCACCAGACTCGCACCTTCTTTGCTGTACACCTATCTTAACCAACAGAAGTTTTCTCCCCTCATCTTTTAATGATGAGTATGCCCAGAGGGGTCGGCGTGGGGCAATTCTATGTCACGGTGTTTGTCTTGTAGAAGAATACAGAGCCTATTTTGAAGTTCTTTGGTGAAAACAGTCGCTAGAAATAAGGATTATGATGTGGGGCTAGGCTGTGCGTCAAGTGCGGGAGGGAGGACGACTTCTCAGAGCACTTGGTCGAAGTCCAGGTCAAGCCTGGCTGTTGAGAAACGGGAAGTGCACCGGAATTTTTCAGCCCGTAGGGAATGGGGAGCTGAAGAAGACGGCAGAGGAGTGGGCTCAACGGAGGATTCTGGGAATGCAGCACCTGTGTAGGAGGGTGCTTTCCCCCGGGCGCCTCTTCCGTTTGAGTCCGGGGTGGGAGTGTCTGAGGGGCTAGGGCTTCAGACGTAGGTGAGCAGCGGGAGAGGGCGGGGCGGGGCGGGGCGCACCTGGGCCGGAGGGGGAGGTGCACTGGGCTGAGCCTCGCGGGGGCCGTGGAGCGCGCCAATGGGCAGCGGCTGGCAGTGCGCCCCGCGCCCGAGCCGCAGTCGCGCCCTCTCGCTGCTTGGCGAAGGCGCGCGGAAGCGAGCTCCGTGGAGAGAAGCTGCCGGGGCCGCGGCCGCGGTCTGGGCATGAGGATGGCGGTGGGCTCAGTCAAGATGCAGCCGCCGTGCGAGAACCCGGCCCTGGCCGCGGCGGTGGCGGCGGCGGACAGCGCTCTGCGCCGCAGTCCCAGCGCCCGCGAGCCGGAGCGCGAGCAGCCGCCGGCGTCGCTGCGGCCGCGGCTGAAGGACCTGCCTGCATTGCTGCGGAGCGGGCTCACGCTGCGGAGAAAGCGGAGCGCCGCCGGGGGCCGGGTGAGTGGTCCCGGCCAGAGATGGGGCACCCGCGGAGCGCACGTGGAGCCCGCGCCCACCCTCCGGGCGATTATAGGGGGCGTCTGGAAGTTAGGGAGGCGGCGGAAGGGGCTCCCTTCTGCCGGACTGCGCTGAAGAGGAGCCCGGGACGGTGGGTTTGGGGTTCCCCTCGGTGAGCGACAGCTTCCCCATCCCCAGATGCACTTGACTTGACCAAAGGGCACCTGAATTTAGGTTGCTTAACCCGGGCATCGCTGAAAGGACAGTTCGCCTCTTCTCAAATGGGAAGCTGCAGGTGTCCGGTGTCTAGCAGTCAGCCAACCCTATCCGACAGTAAGCCTCAGGCCCTACGAATGGGATCCCAGTTCGCAGGACGCATTCAATGTGTTTGGACGTCCCATTGCAAGCTTTGGTCATAAGGACGGGCTCTGGCCGCACACCCCTAACCCCCCGACTCTCCTACCCCCACCCCACGGCAGAGAGAGAGATTCAGGAGTTGAAAGTTCCTGGGTGATCTTCTAGTTCCTGGTTTCCAGCCTCTCCAGCACTTAGTACTTCGGACATCCCCTTGAAGAGGAGGGTGCACGCCCCCAGGAATCTTAAATATTGACTTCCTGATGGTGTGTTCACATATGATTACCTGGCAAGGAGTGCCCCTCATTGAGTACTAAGTGCATCTAATGACCTGAGCAGGTCAGACATGTTTGGTACTGGAGAAGTGAGAAAGCTCTACTGATTATCCTTCAGGATCTTTAAGCCACTCAGGAGGCCCCAGCAGGGTTTCTGGACACTGAACAGACTTACTCAGACTTCTCTTCTCACCAGGGGAGCACCTTTGGTGGGTCCTACTCAGTTTGTAGGAATTCCTCATTATTAAGTAGTCTTCACTGAGAAGTTGCAACAGTGTACATGATTTGGGACTGTAACTTAAAACATGAAGTCTTGGTTGTCCACTTTAAAAGATCTTAGTGGAATACTTTTAGCTCTTGCATCTTGGGTTTGTGAAACTTGAGGGTTGGGGGGTATTTGTGTTGGTGTGGATTTCTTTGGGTGGGGAAGAGTCAGAAGTGGTGAAGGTCTTCCAACCTCTGGAGGCCACAGTTCCTCCTTTCCTAGGTGTCTTTTCAGAAGGATGATGTTCTGAGGATTATCTGTGTGTAATGGGACATTCTTAAAGTCGGTGACCAGGAGAGTTTTTGGAACTGTCCATCAATGACCTTAGATTTGGCATACAGGATTGCCTGCAAAGAAAGCAAGGAAATGTGTTCCCAAGACATGGTAGCTAAATAAACACAAGAACCAGAGTTATAGACTTTGCAATAATCTAGGGAAAAGTAGGTCAAATTGTGTTCCTATTATCCTTGACAGTTACTTTTTCATGGCACAGAATTCTGAAGACATGAGGGCAGCCAGGCAATCTGCAACAAGAATTGCTGAGAGTTTCTGTATAAATAGATCTGTAGCATGCATCTACATAGATACTTCCGTTTCTCACTGCCTGGGATGATATGTGTCTTGCCGATATACATATCTACTCTTATTTTCTTAATTACTTTGAATAATATATACTTTATTAACCCTTCTTTAATTTTAGTACTATGTTAGTTCTTTTGGGGGGGCTTAAGTGAATGGCCATATTTTTTTCTTAACTGGGGGAAGATTGTCATATTTTCTATTATTGGAAACCCATAATTTTCAACAATTTTTCACTCTTTTTGCTTTGAACTGTGGTTGTGATGTTGGAACCTTTGCCATCAAATGGGTAGGAAAGAGTTTGAAAGAAATAGAAAAACAAGTGAAATGTGTACCTGTGTTAGCCAACTTGGGTTGCCATAACAAAATAGGCTGGGTGGCCTAACTAACAGAAATTTATTTTCTAACAGCTCTGGAGGCTGGAAGTTGAAGACTTCAACATCAGTGTGCAGGCTGATTCAGGTTCTGGCAAGGGATCTCTTCCTGGCTTGCAGATGGCCACTTTCTTGCTATATGCTTCTGTGTCCTTTCTTTGATTACTCAGAGGGAGAGACAGCTCTCTTTTTCTCCTCTTACAAGGCCACTAACCCTATCATAAGGGCCTCACCCTCACAACTTAATTTAATCTTAGATACTTCCAAAGTTCCCATCTCCAAATACCAACAAATTGGGGATTTGGGCTTCAGCATAAGAATTTTTTGGGAGACACAAATGGAGATACAAACTTTCAGAAGGGGTTTGAAAGAAAGAGAAAAACAGATAAGATATGTTCTAGACTGGTTGGCTGGAGATTTGTTTCCAGTGCAGCTGAGTGAATTCAAGGGCCAGTTAACAGAACATTTTTACAATTGGTAAAGGAGGAACTCTGTGAATTACATAAGTAAAGTTTTTAACTCTTGTATTGATCAAGATCTGAATTTGAAATATGTTTGACTTTTGTCCATGCTGCCTTGGGCTTCCACAAATTTGGACATTCTGACATCAACTCAGTTCTTGTAGGTTGTGTTGCTCCACCCTGGTGCATTGTAGGCTGTCTCTTAACTGGGACAAAGTGTGCTGTCATTTGGTTGATATAGCATAGTTGCTTGGTTCCTTGGGTCAGTCACTTCCAATATTATTGAATTCACAGTCCTATTGGTTAAGACACTGCATCTCTTTAGGATAAGGGAGCCAAAGACTAAGTTTTGCTTTGTGGAGGTCCCTATTGAGGTCACCCCTTAAGCCTCAGTGGCAAGTAAGCTTGAATTCCCACTAAAACCTTTAATCTTTTTTGTTTGTTTGTTTCTTTTTTGAGTAATTGGAATTGAACCCAGGGCTTCACACATGCTTGGCAAATGCTCTGTCACAGACTTACATCTCCAGTTAATCATTTAAAAAATTTATATAATGGAATATATAAGAGAAGGGGATAATAAATCCTCAAGTTTCAACAGTTATTAGCATTTACCAGTCATGTTTCATTTATTTCTCCCTTCCCTACTTTTTTTTTTTTTTTTTTTTTTTTTTTTGGTGAGAGCTGGTATATTTGAAAGCAAAATCATAAACATAGTGTCATCTCACTTACAAATCTTTCAGTTTACATCTTCAGTAAGGATATTTTAAAAGTGAAACAACAACAAAAACTTCTGTTCCTTTTTCATACCTAAGAATTTTAACAGTTCCTTAGTATAATTCCCATAGTCAAATTTTCTCAAATATGTTTTTTTCTACTATTAATTGTTGGCATCAGGAATTCAATGAGGTCCTCATGTTGCATTTGTGGTTAGGCTTTTAAGCTCTATTATTATAGTCCTCACCCTTCTTTTTTCAGGCCATTGATTTGCAGGAGTGAGTGGTTGGTTTGTCTAGTGTGATGTCCCACTCCCTCAGGTGATGGTTTACTTGTGGTGTCATTTAACTTGTTCTTCTGTTCTTCACATTTCCTATAATGTGGCTGTTGATCAGAACTTAGTCTCAAAGACAAGTAAGTATCCTTCATGGGTGTTGCTGTGTAAAATCTGTTGCATCACATTGTGAGACACATAATGTCTGGATGACTCTCTTTTTGAGAAATTAAGATTGATTAGTGGGCCAGGGAAGGCAGTGCTCATGACTCAGGAAGCTGAGGCAGGAGAATTGCAGGTTTAAGGCCAACCTGAGCAATTTAGTGAGACCTTGTCTAGATAGATAGATAGGTAGATAGATAGGAAGGACTTGGGGATGTAGCTCAGTGGCAGAGTGCCCCTAGGTTCAATCTCCAGTACTGGGGGAGAAGATTAAAAAAAAAAAGATTGATCAGTGGTTCCAAGTAGTGTTTCCTTATATTTCTACCCTTTACCTAAGATTTTAGCCTCAACAGATGGTTATGGAACATCCATTTCATTATGGGACACAAAATGGTGAAATTCTAAATCCATTCTACCTTGGCATTTATTATTAGAATTTTGTATATAAAGAATTTTTCCTCATAAAGTATTTGGATCTCTTGAAATTCAGATTATTCAGGAAAGACAGGGGAAAGATTCTTTTTCCCTTTATGAATTTGCAGAGTAATGATTTGTGGCCCTAACAACTTCCAGTGATAACTAGTTAGCTTTTCTAAGTATCTTTAAGAATTTGTGGATCTTAATGTATTGGTTTCAGTCCATTGTGGTAAATGTTCTTTTTGGTACTCTGTTGGTCCTTGTGTCCTATATAACTTTTACATGAAGCCTCAGTAGGCTTCGAGAACTATCTGGCAGGAGACATTCTAGGCTTATCTTGTATATTTCCTGCTCCAGACCCGAAGTCAGCCATTTTTCCAAGGAGCATGAATAGTTTTTTAACTGAAAAGGGTTCATTGTTCCTAATTTCTGTCTTTCTTGGTCTTAAGCCTTTACCTTAATTCATTCATTTTTCTTTTATTCCTTCTATTCAGGCAATTCCAAGACTGGTGTCCCCCTCCTTCCCCCAATAAAATAGCTGTTAACAACCATTCTCTCTTTCTATATATACTGCCAAAATACTGGCCTGACTTATTTTGGTCTTTGCTGCTGTGATGTTTTCGGCAGACTCTACCACTGTCTTCATCATCTTGAAATCTGTTTCATTTACAGCAGCCAGAGTTATTCACAGTTGGGCCAAATTGACTTCATCACAGTCCTCTGGGTGATCGTCAGCTTTTGGATTAGACCTCAGAAAGGGTGGCTGTCTTCTACCCCTTAACCAACCTCCGCTAGGCAGTGGCCCTGTGGCAGGTGCTTTTCAACTTGGAGAAACTGGGCAGAAGAGCTGGCAGCTCTCTGAATGAGGCTCTCTTATTTCAAGTAAGGTCACTTTCCCTTGTGATTCCTCTCAAAGAGGAACAAAGTGACCCCTTCCTTCTGTCCAACTGGAGTGCTATGGGTGAGACTCAAATACCCTCCTCTTCCAGAAACTTGACTTTGCTGATTGAGAAATATGTACTGCCTGTTGTTATACCAGTACACTCAATTTATACTCATTTTAAACACATCTCTTTCAGGCAAAGCATCTCCGTTCATTCTTTGTATGTAAATTGAAGTCTATTG